TGGGGTGTAGTATGATGATAACATCTGAGCTACTCGATTTAATAACAGTGCATTAAATCGCAATTACATCTCGTGTTTTTTTTTCTTTAACATCCGCGGCTTTGGAAACACGAGTATAATTCTAGAGTATTAATGTTATTATAATGCTCATCTTTTCACGGTTGTATTGGAGGCAGCAGTCTGCAGGGCAGGTTGCAGGACTGTTATGGGGCACACGGGTTATTCCTGATGCATACGAACACCCGTGCAAATTATTTTCTTTGTACAGCAATGTGCTGCTGAATTGTATAATTGAGAAACACATATTATTTAAAGATTAAATTACATTTAAATGTTATTGCTCCACTATCGTTCCTTCGTATGTTCTTGCCTTGCATGTTGACAATACGTCCTTTGCACCTTTCCTTGCACCTGGACGAATTTGACATTTTAAGAAATCTTGTCATCTTGATGTTTTGACAGTTTTTCGTGTGTCTGAAGTAAAAATGTTGTCTTGATAACATGCCATCCTAATGATGGATAGTATTTGGTAACACGATTTCATGTCTTGCTTTGGGGCGTCATTTAAGGTTTTGTTGTAACAACCTTTCTAGTTTTTTAAGACCCTAACCCTAGACCTTGCTCTCCCTCACATGGCATCACTGAGACTGTTATAGAGTCGGATAAGAGGCTTGCAATGATTAAATCATGTTGCACTTATGTTGTCATTTGAAGTAACTCATACTATACCTCTTGTTTATAACCAGTCATTCGCTCTACAGGTGGGCAGAGGAAGTAAGGAGTTGGACGTTTGTTTTTGGATCAGACCAGCCGTCGTTCCTATCATCTTCGTCCCGATAACCACCAGCTGAGCCATGTCTTCGTCAGGGTGCTGCCACCTACCCGGCTCCCTTTGTGATTACTCCGGGAACACCGAACCGGATTCCTCCAAGGATTCGGAGGAGTCTGATTCGACCACACAGGCCCAGTACATTGCCAAGGTTACGGCTAAAGACGGCCGCCCACTCTCCACCGTTGTCAAAGCGGTGAACTTGCAGAGGTAAGAGAGGGAGGAACTCACATGGGGGCCTTTAAAAAATAAACAGTAATTAGTACTTTTGTTAATCATCACATTGTCTACTTCGCTCCACAGTGATGTGGGCATGTGTCGGATTTGTCATGAGGGCGCTGGAGGGGAGACTCTGCTCTCACCCTGCGACTGCACTGGCACTCTGGGTAAAGTGCACAAGAGCTGCTTGGAGAAGTGGCTGTCCTCCTCCAACACCAGCTACTGTGAACTCTGCCACACAGAATTCACTATTGAACGTCGACCACAACCACTCACACAGGTAAGAGGGTTAACTTATTTTTGATTTTGTAAAAAGAGGTTGAAAAAGGCTTATTTGTCTAAAGCAAGGGAGAAGATGTTTGTTCTTCAGCAATGTTGTCATATTTTAAGTACTTTGTAGGTCTCTTTTAGATTAAACGCTGAATCTTAAATTTAGATTTAAAATGTTGATTCCATGTAAAGTATAAACCAGCCTAGTAGCATCCTGAGGATATAAAGGTGTTTTGTTCATATTAATAAGATGGTAGCCTGACCATTTCATATGACTAGTATTCATATCAATAATGCATTCATATCAGATGGGCACCAAATGTCCAACATTCACACCCTTTTAAATGATCTTTTACTTGGCAGAATAATCACTGCAAACTGAGATGCACCAATCAAACAAACAAACAAACAAACAAACACTAAGCTAATACTGAGAGCCTATTTTCATTAAACCTCTTGCTTCTGCTCTGCTCAGTGGCTGAAGGACCCAGGCCCTCGCAGTGAGAAGCGCACGCTGCTGTGCGACATGGCCTGCTTCCTCCTCATCACGCCGCTGGCAGCCATCTCTGGCTGGCTGTGTCTGAGGGGGGCCCAGGACCATCTGCAGCTGAAGAGCAGACTGGAGGCTGTGGGCCTCATCGCCCTCACCATCGCCCTCTTCACCATCTACATCCTCTGGACACTGGTAACCAAAATATACTTATGGCATTTATGTACATTTGTTGAGGCAGTGGGACAAAATATCTGGCATCTTCTTACCCACAGGCTTCTAGTATGTATCTTTCTGCTTGTCCCACATAGATTTGAAAAACAAATGTGTACTGGCACACAGACACAATACTGATCTAACTGATCGATCTAACAGATCTATGTTCTGCTGTTGATTTTAGTTGAAAACTGTGGGACTGTTTTCTGCTTCCAATATTACCTCAAATAGCTCTTGCACAAAGTCAAAGCAAGAGAGAAGACAGGGCATGTGCAACTTGATAATCTCTGTCACACCGCACTCATTTGTTTGAAAGTTGGCCAGATGCAGGCCCCTACACGCACAACACATTGAGAAGTGTAAGAATAAACTTTCTTATACTCTGCACTTTAATTTGACTCGACCCCATACACTAAAAATAGCCTGTATTGTCAATCACAAACGTTGTTCTGGAACCTAAACCTCTTATCTTCAGTAAAAGAATCCTAACTAATATCGAATGTGTGAAACATTAGCCCGTTTCACTCACAGCTGGTGTAACCTTTAGCGCTTCAGTCAGCATATTGTTCCTGTCCTGCAGACATACTACTCTGTCTCACATATCTCAGTGTCAGAATAATTGATGTCTGTCTTTCCTCCGCCTGACTTGCCCCTCCCCCTCCCACCTTCCTTCCATTTAATCTCAGGTGTCATTTCGGTATCACTGTCAGTTGTACTCGGAGTGGAGGAGGACCAATCAGAAAGTGCGCCTGCTCATGCCTGACATGAAAGGGTCCCACACCACCCAACGATCTGTGCCGACTAAGTCGACCAAGAAAATGACTGATGAGACCATCGTATGAGTGCAGAGCGGCGGCAAGAGGAATATTTAAAATAACGCCCACTGAAGCGCTCTCTAAAAAACAAAATTAATCCTATTAATAAACTTTTGCACTTCGTAAGGACCATTCTGAGAGGGGGGAGAAACTTTCTTCTTCTTTTTTTTTTTTTTTGAAGCACTTGAACTACTACGGTATTGGCCGACCACAAAAGTGGTTTTGGGAAGAACTCATTCCGGAGATGGTGTTGAAACACGTAGTTGTCAAACGGATGGCCGGCACTGAGAACAACTGAAGACATGGATAGCGGACTGACCAGCCCAACTGTGTGTCCCGGACACAAACTTATGAATTACTAAGACACAAGCTAATGTAGCAGGATATAACTGATTCAGCATGCTACTACAGTATAATATTAAACATATTCACTACCTATAATTCCCCCATGCCCCTTCACAATGTATTTAGCTCTTTTTAAACAATGGGCAGCCAATAGCCCGGCAGAGGATAATAACCCAAAAACATGATTGACAAAGTCTATCTGTGAATACTCCTCCCTGACATGTAGAGGGCGACAGGCTCTCATACCAACGGTGTTTTCTACGATCTGAACCCCTCTGAAGTTTCCTGGTAAAGCTTTATCATTGCTGTAGGAACGGCGAAAATCAATTTTCCTGTTTAGACAACAGCTAAGGCTTTATACGGTGTCAGTGGAGATAACAGTATGTGGGATAACTGTGCCCGATAAACGGCAGCGCAGTGCTGTGTAAGGAAAAAGTATTGAAGCTGTGGAAACGTGTTTACATTCTAATTGGATAATGTCTACTTGTCATAAGAGTGCATTTGCAACCAGCCCAGCTCCACTTGTAAATGCATTATTCATTAATTGAGCTGCCTAGCAATGACCAGCAGATGCAGTGTAAATATGAGTCACAGTGTTCAGGATAGCAAGACTACAGACTTTTGTTCAATATAAAAACACGAAGATGTATCAGAGCAGGCTGTAAAAGAAATTGTGTTTTGAGGCGTCGATCAATGTTTGCAGTATATGCTATTCAAAGTATTTTGTTTCATTGTAGTCATCCTGCTGCATCCCCTGGAAAAGTTGGGTTATTGTGCAATAAAACACGAGGGACTCCTGGCTAAATCAAATGTCTGTTTGTTTTAGTTGGCCTCTAATCGTCTTCAGTCGTCTTTGGAAATATATCTAATAATCAATCCCTGTGAGGCCTAACATTTCAAAAATATTGAAGTGGTTTGTGCTGGAAGATTTCACTTTTATTTGTAGGACAGTCACATATGAATATGACACTTTCCAAAGAATGGTACTAAAGTACAATTCCAGGTACTTTATAATTGTACATCACTATACTTTTAGAGGGAAAGTCCTCTACAGCTATTTAACAACAAGTGTAACTTTTTAGATTAGGATTTTAGATATAAAATAGCTTTATATTGCTAAAACATCCACACATCCTTTTTGGCTTGTTACACCTTACAAAAAAGTAGTGTCTTGATTTGGGCCTATGTCAGGTAAAAGAAGATGCAGTATGTTATCAACAGAATGTTCTCCCTTTTGAGCTTCTCAGGTGGTTTCAATATTTATTTTATTATTGAGAAAATATATATTTAAAAAAAAAAGGGTATCTTTATATACTGTATAGGGGTCATGACCTTAGTGTGGAACAAAGAGAATGTTTGTGAAGGTTGAAATAAGCTCAACCTTGACCTGAACAATGGCTAAATGCTGCTTATGCATTTATGCCATAACAATGAAATAATGTACTATGAAAACTTATAAAAATGATGTTCCAAGCAGGTCAGGGATCACTGTACAGGTACAGTATGTCTTTGTGTGTGTGTTGCTAAAAGAAAAAAGAACATTTGATTTACTGACCCGCGCGGTTGGTTTGTAAAATGAATTCATATGGCCAAAATGTTTTTTTGTGAGGTCACAGTGACTTTAAACCTTTTCCCACCAAATTGTGATTGTTTTTTGCTTGAGTGGACATGAAGAGGACATGTTTGCTAAATGTTAAGAAATGTACCTATAAGATAACACGTTCATGAGAATGGTATCAACGGACAACTAGAAAACACCCTCTGGCCAGGGCTGTCGACAGCGCAGAGGCATAAAAAAGTAGACGCCACCACAATGTAATATTGTAAAATTTAATTTCATGGCATTAATATAATGTATGTGAGCAGACAAGCTATCAAAATCAAAACAAAAAAAGGATATATTTTACACAAAATGAAATGAGCATCAGCAGCGTAACAACGACATTTGAGATGATGACTGGAGGAGGAGGGAGGCCCAAAAACAGGACTACTGGTACGACTGGGACAGGCAGGATTCACAGCCAGGCGTCCAACATGTGGCAGTAACTACCAGGGAGATGTTTAGGCCAAAGCTGTTCTGCTACACTATCACGGGTTACTGTGGCAGGTACATAAAGGTATTCTGATATGCTGTACCATCAGTCCTGTTTTTGCACGGGGGGGGAGGTGGCAGATTGTCCCCGGGTCACATTACTATTTGAAATCAAATCAAACACTTCTTTCTGGGTTTGATCGTTTGTGGCATAAAGGAACTGACTCCACTGATCTAAAAAACAAAGTGCAGATTGAGACAATATTGCACCGCAGGCAGATGGAAGCATACCAACACTGTGGATTTCAATGAATAATCGACCCAGGTGAGAGGGGACTGTTGCCATGGGTTACAGGTTCTGACAGCACTGCAGTTTGCCCCCCCTCAGGCCGTCCGTGGTGGGGGGCACGCTGATGTCCACCACGTTGTTTCCCGGGGACTCGTCATGGGCAGACCGCTCAGCAATCTGTTTCTGAGAGACGATGCGGTAGATTTCTGTTTTTCAGAAAGGAGAAATGGAAAGACATCAGCCTTTTTCATAAAATATATATAATTGTTTTTGGTGTAGACCAACAGCAAAACTGAAACTTGAGATATTTCACAAGTTGATTCTTTAGTTCTTCAGTTACCATTTTGTGCACAACAGATCAAATGAACTTCCCTCAGTAAGAGGAAGTTACACAGGTAAAGTTCAACAGTTGAGTTACAGGAAGTCATTTCTTGAAGCTGTCCATTTTTCACTCATTTCATATCAGCAGCTACTTTTAAATGGACCCTTTTATGCTCATTTTCAGGTTTCACATTTGTATTTGTGTGCCTCCACTGTGACATGTTTACATGCTTTAATGTTCAAAAAGGTCTTTATTCTTTATAAATGATCATACTGCCTGTGCTGCTGCACCTCTTTTCACCCTCTGTCTGAAACCAGAGCCAAGTCTGCTCTAATTGGTTAGCTGGCCAGCTCTGTTGTGATTGGTCAACCGCATAGAGATGTCCCGCCCCTTAGCCTATCAGTGTTGGAGTGCCAGCCAATAGAAGCACGAGTGTTACATAGTGATGTCACTATGTTACTAAAGTGAACAAAGGGGTCCAATGGAGGTGTTTCAGGCAGGGGGGGGAGTGGGTGTGGGAGAGAACTTTGGGAATTTATCTTTTGCAGTTAATTGACATGACAAAAACCTATATCACACACTACAGGAAAGGCAAAACCAAAAAAAGGAAACAGGGCCTCTTTAAAACTAACTTTGTTTAGTGCTTGAAAAAGGTCCAAAAGCTTGTAAGGAAAAATGTTAAGCAACAGTTTCAGCTTAGTATAACATAGCACTGGAATGTTATCAGACCAAGATTTTGGAATGATTGGTGTTTGAGAAGTTAAGATCACATTTTAAAGTACTTTCTTATCTCAACATTGTGGTCCACAAGCATACCTGTGAGGATATTCTTGAAGGCTTCTTCAACGTTTGTTGAGTCCAAGGCTGAAGTTTCTATGAATGACAGATTGTTTTTCTCTATAGGGGAGGAAATAAAAAACATTTGACAGAAACAATAGCTTGCAGCAAAACAAAACAATATCAGAGAATCTAGTGTTGTTTAGTTTTTTACTTATTCTTTTCCAGGTACCTTTATAAGAAGAGACTATGTTAAGGTTTCAATTAGGTTCTCTTATCTTCATTTTGTGAAAAGAAGACAAATAGCTTGTAATTGTAGGAAATGCTAATATCTTTATAACAAACAAAAGAAAGACAAGACAAAAAGTATTCTACTGTACAGCATATGTGCCTTTTCTGAGTCTGTAAGTTACCTGCGAAGGCCCGGGCCTCGTCGGTGGGCACGGCCCTGAGGTGGCGCAGGTCGCTCTTGTTGCCCACCAGCATGATGACGATGTTGTTGTCGGCGTGGTCCCTCAGCTCCTTCAGCCAGCGCTCCACATTCTCATAGGTCAGGTGTTTGGCGATGTCGTACACTAAGAGCGCCCCCACGGCTCCTCTGTAGTATCTGTGACAGGAAAACAACAAATACAGTGATGACAGGAAACGTCAGAAAAGGGCCATAAAAAGTATGGATGAGTCTTGAAATCTTGAGAATCACAGCTAGTTGCTTGTTGCTTTTGTTGCTTGTACAGCAGCTAATCCAGGGTATACAGTAGTTGGTACAACATGTAATGTATGTCTTATCTAGTTTCTTATTCAGCCAATATTCATGTTTAAAGCTTTTATGGCATGTGGACTTAAAACGGACTGACATTCTACTTATTTTGCGGTTTGTAATTCAATTCTATGTGAGATATAAAGGTTAAAGTAAATGTTCGTTTTCCAATGCTCTGAAATTACATTTCACATGTTTGACATTTATCAGATGCACTTAGATTTGCAGTTGCATTTAGAGGGCAGCCGGGAGTTTTGTGTCTCACTCAAGAATATTGAACCCGTTAGCTCAAGCTTTGCTGAGCTGTATAGGCGAATAATTGATTGAAAGTGCCATCTTCCTCTTTAACTCGTTCTTGTACAACATATACAAAGTCTGCCCCATAGGTGATGTAGTCTGAAGGATTAAGGTAGGACTATCAGCAGCTCACAGACTCACGCTGAGGTGATGGCTCTGTAGCGCTCCTGCCCGGCTGTATCCCAGATCTGAGCCTTTATCGTCTTGCCGTCCACCTGAATGCTGCGCGTGGCAAACTCCACCCCGATGGTGCTCTTACTCTCTAGGTTGAACTCATTTCGTGTGAATCGAGAAAGCAGGTTGCTCTTCCCTACGCCCGAGTCCCCAATTAACACAACTGTTGAGGAAAAGAGAAGAAGGGAGGGAAGAGATGAGACAAGATGTTTTACTGTGTGTGTGTGTGTGTGTGTGTGTGTGTGTGTGTGTGTGTGTGTGTGTGTGTGTGTGTGTGTGTGTGTGTGTGTGTGTGTGTGTGTGTGTGTGTGTGTGTGTGTGTGTGTGTGTGTGTGTGTGTGTGTGTGTGTGTGTGTGCATGTGTGTGTGTGCGTGTGTGTGTGTGTGTGTTTTGTGTGTGTGTGTTTTGTTGTGTTTGTGTGTGTGTGTGTGTGTGTGTGTGTGTGTGTGTGTGTGTGTGTGCATGTTGTGTGTTTGCGTGTGTGTGTTGTGTGTGTTTTGTGTGTGTGTGTTTTGTGTGTGTATGTGTGTGTGTGTGTGTGTGTGTGTGTGTGTGTGTGTGTGTTGGGAACAGTAGGGGCAATGTAATTAATAGAACCTCCAAAAAATGTTGATCATGCATAAAGCAGCGCCTCTAAACGCTGGTTTCAAAAGAACCTTGGGGCTTTGTGTGTGGTGTGTGTGTGTGTGTGTGTGTGTGTGTGTGTGTGTGTGTGTGTGTGGTGTGTGTGTGTGTGTGTGTGTGTGTGTGTGTGTGTGTGTGTGTGTGTGTGTGTGTGTGTGTGTGTGTGTGAAAAGCAGAGATTTATATTGCAAATTAGAGGAGAAACACAATACAACTAAAGGTTGAGTCAATACAAAACTGTGGTATTACAATGCAATAGTGTATTTCTAATTTAAATTCATTACAGGAGTATTGTTTTGTAATTAATACGTTTTAAAAAAACATTTTAATTGGTTTCTCATTTCCAACATGTGACAACAAAACAACTACAGATACATTGTTTGATCATGTCTGTGTTTTGCAGTGTACAATATGCAACAATGAACTCTGTCTGATAATTAACCACATAATCAGCAACCATTATTTCAGTTGAACTGTTCTCCAGACAGTTTGGGTGTCACTGTAGAGAACCACGGTCTGTAAGAGCCAGCTACCCAGGACCATGGAGAGGAACGGTTATTTATTTCCTGCTGTCAAACAAGCCCAACAACAATTAGAGCCTGGAAGCACCTGAAGGACCATCCAGTAAATAAAGAGGTGCTTTAGCTGCTGATGGTTCTCTACAGAGCCACAGAAGAGATGAATAATGGAGAGCATTTTTCACTGAGCAGTAAATGCTCGGCTGAACTAACGAGGGTTTACTGTTGAACCTGCATCTTCATATATAGACTCCTGGCCTTTCAAAAATAAGAGTATAATCTTGCACAAACATACCCCAGCTTTACCAATGTTTTGTCCTATCCCTCATTTAAATCCTTATTTCTATAATTGCAGATTCAAGATATACAGTATATAAAAATGAACTGAATATTCAAGTTTCAAGTTTCAAGGCTTTATTGTCATTTGCACATTAGCTACAGTGTAGATATGATATGGCAATGAAAAACTTAGGTCAGGCTCCTCCAACAGTCATAGGACATAGAATAAATAAAACAGATAAACTAGTGCAAGAGAATATGAAACCTCTGTTTATAAAAAAACCTATGTACCTGTAAATAATGGGATTTTTATATTGAAAACTTAACTTGAGAAGAACCAGGTCTAACAATCTACAATAGCATCCACTTTGTAAACAAAAATAATGATTTTGTTTATCAGGCCTTGTTGTTCTGCATTGTCTCAATCAGAGCTGTCAGAGGAGTGATTGATGGGGCTCGTGGACCTGTGCTGAGCTTCTGTTCACAGCAGCAGAGGTGGAGTCTTTTTGTTTTCTCTCCCTCGACAAAAGGAAATTGAGCCGAACTTTGTCCCTTGTCGGCATCGCACTGGTCCGGGCTGCAGGAAGCTGATAACAGGCTTCATCAAAACCTGAATCGACAGTTTCAAGCCGCCTTGCCCTTCCTGTTTCGGCCGGGTGCACAGACGATGGCTCGGGCAGAGAGAGACAGAAGGGGAGAGAGGAGAGAGAGAGAGCCTCCGGCAGATGCCCCATTCATCCCACAGAGGATACTTTGTTACATCTAAATGGCCCTTTGGTTTATGCAGGCCCAGGATGTTAATGTGCCACAGGAGCTGATATCACGATCAAAGGAAGTCATTCTGGACGAGCACTGAAGATAAACATGGACATGAGTCTGGTACTAACTGATCAGGCATACCATAATAACACTGGCACACAAAGTTATGAGTTGCAGCATTTTCAGAGTCATTATGTGAGGATAACGATTATTGATCAGGAGAGGTAGAGGCTAATAGGCCCTTAATAAACCCCATAGGGAGGAATAAAACATCAGATGTCATTAAATAAAGAAGGAAGCTGTTCGTCCACACCACCAATGCTGCTCGAGTTGATGAAAGTTTAATACAAAGGCAGAGCACGGATAGGGTGTTGCATCCTACCTATACATATAGCTGCAGGCGTTGTAATGTTACAATTACAGCATTATGTTTTAATAACCCCAACCGACTATCATCCGGGCAGTTTCTGGGAAAACATTAGTCTGTTTCCTCAGAAAATGCATAACTGGTGAGCGAAAATGACACAATAAGAGATGTTTAGGTGTTATTAAAGAATAGCTTTGTCGGTGTGAGTCTGTGTTAAGGGGGAATGCAGTCATCTTTTTTTTCTTTACCTTTGAACAAGAAATCGTATTCATCGTCTCGGTTCCCCATTCTAGACGAGGCCGCTCCGACGCTTGTCTCCGGAAGAGAATGTGTGGAAAGTATGGCTATGAAATGTCGTTTTGTGTCAGGAAAATATGGTAAAGGTTTGCGCTGAGACTCTGCGCCAGTGTTGGCTGTCAATGCGAGCTGGACGCAGAAAGAGAGCTCCAACTCTGCGGCGGGAGGGGAGGAGTCCTGCAGTTCACATATCTGCCGCAGGGGGGCGCTCTGCGGCATGCCGGGAGACAACATCCATCTGGAGACACGGATATTCAACTCTGAATGTAAATAATGACCAAGTCAGGCCATCCTTTAAGGTAACTTCACATGTAGAAGGTTGGTTTTCCAAAAACGTTGTGTGGTGTTTTTATAATAGTTATTTAAAGAAAATGTTTAAATTCCTTGCCATTCTTTGCTCACTGTGAATAATATCCCACTTTTACATTGGGTTAGCTGTTATTTGACCATTCAATAGTATTCTATTTGTCAGATAGTTTACAGATTTGTATCTTCATGCTCAACTTTGTTACTTCTGCTTTATTTTCTATCTTGAGATGTTTATTTTTTGGGTATTTTTTTTATTTTCTACTCTTTTTACTTTCTAATTATGTGCAATGCCCTGTTTTTATATGCTGCTGCAACGAAAACATTTCCTAATTTGGGATCAATAAAATGTATCTTATCTTATATATATATATATATTTATGCTAAATTGTTTCTTAAAAATACTTATTTTTTATTATCCTTACTGTATATGTTTCTTTTTTTTGCCTACTATTACTTCATATTTTTCTTAGATTGTTTATTTTCGCACCACCAGATACCAAAGCAAATCCCTTGTACTGTATGTGTAAACGTACCAGGGCAATACACTTGATTCTGATTACCTTTAACATAATAGCCTATAAAGATAATAAGAACTGTCTTTCAGAAGCAGCAGTGTGTTACCCCAGTGTTATAAAGCTTTAATACATTCAAGGCCAACAGTGAGTCTGAAACCACTGAGTTCTTTTAATGAACCATACTTAAGAGGTTAATAGTAATGTCACGGTGGAGTTGTTCTGTACTACACAGAGACTGAAAACAAGACTGGAAAGAAAATGAATACAATCAGTTGCATTAGGTTATAAGGGAATACAAAATGAGGAAGCATTAAAGAAAATGGAGGTGAATAGCCTTATTATAAAAAAAGGATATAAGGAAATTACACTATACAACAGATAAAACTTGGAAGTCCTAACAAGTGTCATACTTTTGTCATAGTCAGTTTTTTTTATTATTGTTCGTTATTTTTATGTTTTATTTTTATGTTAAGTCTTTATGTTTAGCTTTTTCTGTGCTTTTTGTCAGTCTGCTGTGTATTTATACATGAGGAAATTCTCCAGCTATATTAAGTTATAAAAGCTATGTTTACTCACAGACAGCAGACTTTTTAAAGATTGGAATTGAAATTACAAACAGTTACTTAATAAGATGAAGACTTTAAGAGAATAACAAACTAAAAGAGATATTTAGTAGTTTATACGTTGTTGTTTTTTTACGATACAGTGGTGACAATGTTTAAAATAAAATGCAAGTCTCCTCTGTGAACACCATGAAGCCTACACTACAACTGTGATACATTGGGATATGTTAAAGCATAACTGAGCTTGCACATTTAGCCCATTTCAAATGTTAATATCCCAATGAACCCAGTCTTAAATGTGCAGATTTGTTAACCTGCACAGCCACTCAGTTTGTGGGCAATGTCAAATAAAAAGCACAATGTAGTTTGTTTTTAGGGTGGATTCTCCCTTTACAGTGCTGCTGACAGCTGGCCCCGCCCCCAGCCCTTCAGCTGCGCTCCTATTGGCTGAGAGGAAGGTCAGCTGCTGCAGCAAGGACGCACGTGTAGCTCCAGCTCGGCGCATTTGAAGATCAAGATGGCAGCCTCCGTGTGTCGGTGCTACGAGGTTAGACAACCATTCATGTCCTTCATTACAGGTTTTAAGTGTTTAGAGAATAACTGTGCAAAGGGAGCAGAAGTATACGGCTAATAGTTAGTTATTTCTAATGTCTGGTTTGTGAGTGAGATTTCGTAGTGTGTTATTAACATGTCCATTAGAAAAGGCCTTGTTGCATCAGACGGACTGCGGGTTCTCAATGTTCTAGTTCACCTATCATTGTCTAAAATTATATTCTTCTTTTGGGTTTCTTGGTGGGAAAATGTCTGTGTATATGGGCTTAAAAGCGGCAAAATGTGGTATAAAAGGAAGCCTTTTAGACGCATAGATGTAGCCAGATATTGACCCATCGTTCAGTTGTAAACAGGCGTTAATACTAATGGTATAATCTCCCGATGAAGTAACTAGCGTTATAAAGGTGGTATAATATCTTCAAATGTTTAAGTAACTAACGTTAATCCTGGTTTTACACCAAATGATGTGACTCATCATAGTTTGTTACAGTGCCAATGGTTTTATCATATTAAATCCCATATTTATTGACGGATGTTTAACATATCTTACGCCATGGTGTATTTTTACTTTGTAGTACTAAAAAGACTAAAATGTTAGATGACCCTAAATCTGTGACCTTTTATGTTATGTGACACTTGAGGATCAACAACAACAACAATAAAAAGACCAAATGGTCGACCAAATACTATCAGTTTAGGTGTTGGTGCTTTACAGGCAGGTATTTTTTTGCTGTCATGCTATCAAAATGTGATTTATTTAATGACAACTCGTGCACCATCTCCTGTAATACTCATCTAGATTAGATTAGATAGATTATGACATGTTTGTTGACAAGTTTTAACATATCATAATGACTAACATGTTAATTTGTTAACTTAAAACATTAGCAGTAACAACTCAACATATGGGAAATTCCTATTTGGGTCACATAAGCGTAACACTGGCACAAATAGAACAACAGTGTCATACATTTTACCTATAATATTTAAACCCCCTACCGATGCAGATTCAGACAGGAGACACATCAATGTAAAAGCTGAATATATTAATTGAGAAGCATAAAAAATTCAGAATTTGCCAAACAGGTGTACTTCTTCATGAATTAAGTAAGCATCCTGTGACATGTATAGGGATTGCATCAGAAAAACAACACAGTGTCTTTCTAAGGGCACAGCTGTTCTAGAGGCATGTGGTTGACCACATCTTAGTAACACGCTGGATGCGAAGTTTTGTTTGTAGTTTCAACCATCTGTTACGGTTTTACTTGTCACCTGGTTGGTGAACCCCTGACACCTAGCAAATAGTATATGTGATCCTTAGAAGTATCATCACAACAACATGACTCCTGCTTTGCCCGCTTGTCTCGTATTTGATTTATTTATTCAATATTACTGTGAGGGCTTAACTCATTAGTATTCCATTAACCTGTTACCTATTCTCTATTAGACCTGAGGCCTGTACTACGAAGCCGGTTCAACATAACCTGGATATGTTTGAGTTAGCCGGTTGGCCTAATCCAAAACATACGCGCTCTCGCTAAGCAGTCCTACGACGCTGGTTATCAAGTGGATCGCTCAAGCCAGCCGTGTCCTATCTAGTTAGGTGCGCGTTCACATAAAAGGGGTGGTATTTGGAGCATTCGACCAATCACAAACATGGCCAAGTGTACTGACAGCGCAGCGTCATACTTCCTGAATGAAAAGTTAACTTTAATATTAGTCAAATATGAAGAAGTTAAACTTTAAACATCCATGACTTAAACACTTTATCCAGGATAAAAGCCACATAGCTGCACCTGCAAGGTGAATACAGCTGGTAAAAGAAAAAGTGTTTGAATGCGTACATTAACAGGTTTATGATATCACAAGACACGAGTGAATCTGACTTTAATTACATTTGACTCGAGTGTTTCGTCAACTTAATGTGTGTAATACTTCTGCATACAGTATGTGACACTGTGAGTGTTGCACGGCCAGATACGGCTCAAGAAGCTGACTCAGATAAGGAAATATAGCCTATGACACATTATGATGTGATATGATGTAATATGAATGATAATGGGACACATCGACGTCTGCACTCACAGTGCCGCGGACTGTACTTAATGTTACTCTGATCCGGTTACTTATGTTGTGGCAGATATTTAAGTAAGCTTTCTTAACGCTAATGTTATAATCGTCAGATTGCTCTGAAGATGGGAGGGGATATTCTATTCATTTTCACGTTCACACAGTCAGTTGATTTTTGCCGGCCGTCTTTCTGTATTTCCTTTCTCCTGTAATATGAATTGATCGCTTTCAACTCCGCACACTGAGCTCTGATTGGTCAGCAGGCAGTGCTTTCACTGAGTTGATCTCTTAGCCTGCAACCTAACCTGCTCCGGAGCATAAGTTACCATGGAGATCTAGCCCGCTAAAAAGAGAACCAGCGTCGTAGGACCGGAAACCCCGAGTTTTCCCTGAAGTTAGCCCGCTAAGCGAAAATCCGGCTTCGTAGTACAGGCCTCTGCACCGATTAATTAATTAATTAGATTAGTTCACTGTCAGAACAAAATTGGACAGCTATTTTATTAATTGATTAATCATTATTGTCAATTTTCATGCAATAATGTATGAAGATTTCCAGATTTTCTCAGTTTTACATAATATTAAAGAGAATATGTTTCTGCTTTAGACCAACAAATCATTTAAAGTAATCACGTTTGACATCGACTGGGATTTTTTTTACTATTTTCTGGCATTTTATACATACAATGATTTCCAAGAAAAAGAACTGCCCATATAATTGTTAGTGAAAATATTCCTTATTTGCAGCTTTATTCTCCATCCACTGCAGTGTCCACAGAGTTGTTTGTTACTCACAGTCTCTGTCCCTTGCAGCTGGTTGGCCGACGGGCCGTGGCCCTCTGCTCCCGGCCTCTGGTCCCCTCAGTGTGGAGAGGAGACGCCTACACGCTACACAGGAGTCCAGCTGCAACTGTGCAGGTACACACTGACTGCTACCGTTACCTTTAAAGCACACATACACATTGTTAATTACATCAAAGAAACTGCTCAGTTGTTTGTGTTACTCTCAAGAATACATTTTAGGTAGAAAGTTATGTTTTCATAGTTAGTTACTAAATAGAGCATGGATGCTGGTTAATTCCTGATTGGAGAGGACTTGGAAATGTATGTATGTACTGTATGTTAATGATCTGTTCACTCTTGATCTGTTGAACTAAA